GGGGACGGAGGGTGAGCCGCTCCCGCCTGTGGCCGAGTCCCCAGCTGCGGCTGTGGGTCGGGAGCCAGAGTCTTGTTCTCGCCTTGGCTGCGCCCGTGGCTCCCTGCGTGACTTTGGGCGAGTTCCGCCCCTCGCTGGGCCTTCATCTCCCCACCTGCAAAATGACAGGGGTCTTTGGGTGGGTCTCCCGAAGTTCCAGACAGACTTAAACTCGTTTTCTTGGCCAGCTCCCTGTAAGACGTTTCCCAGGTTCGCCACCGGGCCCTTCCTCGCAAGCTCGTGGCTGCGCCCTCGGCGCTGACCCTCGGGATTCAGCAGGAAGCCTGAATCGGCTCTGGCTGGGGGAAGGAGCCGCATCCAGCCTGTGGAGGGCCGGCTGAGGAATGTGTTTCCTGTGCATTGAGGCACTTATTCTTTCACGGCTCTCCACCAGGCAGATGTTATTACCTCCGTTAAAGATACAGCTTGGGCGCCCTGGCCGGTGTGGCTCGGTTGAGCGTGGTCCCATGCACCGAAAGGTCACTGGTTCCATTCCCAGTCTCAGGGGCACGGTCGAGGTGCCCGGCCCCCTCTCCCTTCCTTTCTAAAATCAATGAAACCTTTTTTTAAAAAAAAGTGAAGCAGGGGCTTGGAGAGTCTTAGAGACAGGTAGGACTAGGCTGCTCTGTTCCGCTTTTTGTCCTATGCTGTACAGGTTTGCTAAAAAGAGATTTAAACAAATTCAAATATGTCTAAGCAGTGGAAGGGAGCACTGGCCAGAGTGTGTGTGTAGGGGGGGGGCATCTTTCCAATGGGCGGAGAGGGGACCTAGGAGGACGTTTGGGTTCTAGTCCTAGCTATGCTGCGGACTCACTATGATCTTAGGTAAGTATTTCCCCCTCTCTGGCTCAGTCTTTCCTGAACAGCCATGGGTTTAATCAGATGGTCTGTAAGGACCCTTCTGCCTTTGGCATTGCTAACAATAGGAATAGCAATTGTTTCCTTACCTTGACCTACAAAGCCCTGCCTGAGCTGGCCTCTGTCTACCCCAAGAACCAGACTCCTTGCCCTGTCTCAGGACCTTTGCACTTGCTGTTTCCAGTGCTAGGAATACTTAATCACCTCTCTTTCCTGCATAGTCATTTTTCAGATCCTCACTGAAACTTCACTTGCCTAGAAGGTTCCCTGACAAAGACCAGGTCAGTTCTATAGATTTATAACCTCATGCTGCATTCATGAAGCTTAAGTGTTTGTGTAGTTCTTTGTCTAATACTTATCTGTATCCCCTATTATTTAATGCCTGTAAATGGCATGAGGGCTGGAACCCTGTACTGGTCCCAGCATCTAGCACATAATCAGTGCTCAGAAATTTGTTGTGCAGAGAACAGATAATCTCATTTAGTCCAACAATCTTGTGAGGTTGAGTCCTTGTGCTCTTATGCACAAGGAGACAGAGCTTCAGAGAGTGATACTCCCAGGGTCACACAGAGTTGGCAGCACCAGAATTTCAACCCAGTCTGTATAACTCTAAAGCCTGAGCTTCCATTTACTTGCCATCTCATTCCAGGATCTTCTGCTGCGAAGACATTACCCAAGTACCAGAAATTCTGACAACGAGGCCCAGAAAGAGACGACTGTTAGGTTGCGGAGGTGTGTCTTGTCCAGCGTGGTTTTCCTCAGCCCTTGGAACCTACAGTGGACCTGGAGTGGACTTGGCCCCCTCCTGCAGACCCATGGCTCACCGGCTACAGATACGGCTGTTGACGTGGGATGTGAAGGACACGCTGCTCCGGCTCCGCCACCCAGTGGGAGAGGAATATGCCTCCAGGGCCCGGGCCCATGGGCTGGAAGTGGAAGCCATGGCCCTGGAACAAGCCTTCAAGCAGGTGTTCAGGGCTCAGAGCCACAGCTTCCCCAACTATGGCCTGAGCCATGGCTTCACCTCCCGCCAGTGGTGGCAGGATGTGGTCCTGCAGACCTTCTACCTGGCAGGTGCTTGGGATGCCCAGGCTGTGACCCCTATCGCTGACCAGCTGTACAAGGACTTCAGCAGCCCCTGCACCTGGCAGGTGTTGGAGGGAGCTGAGGACACCCTGAGGGGGTGCCGAAAACGGGGTCTGAGGCTGGCAGTGGTTTCCAACTTTGACCAGCGACTAGAGGGCATCCTGGTGGGTCTTGGTCTGCGGGAACATTTCGACTTTGTGCTGACCTCTGAGGCTACTGGCTGGTGCAAGCCAGACCCTCGCATCTTCCATGAGGCCTTGCGGCTTGCTCATGTAGAACCAGCAGTGGCAGCCCATATTGGGGACAGTTACCACAATGACTATAAAGGGGCACGGGCTGTAGGCATGCACAGCTTTCTAGCAGTTGGTCCAGGGCCTTTGGACCCTGTGATCAAAGATTCTGTACCCCAAGAATATATCCTAACCTCACTGCCCCATCTCCTGCCTGCCCTTGACCGCCTGGTGGGCTCACCCAAAGGGCTGTGAGTCTGGTGAGGGAAGTGGCTAGGCCCAACAAACATTTCAGACAGGGAGGCCTTTCCTTTCCAAGATCTGGCCTTCATCCCCTCCCTGCAGCCTCCATAATGCATTCTGACTACAAAGCCACAAGTGTGAGGCTTTCAGCCCTGCCCCCACTAACCAGCTCCTGGTCTCAGATGGTTCATTCATCGCGCCTGTGTCCCTTCTCCACAAGTCCCCCTCACCTCCAACAAGATTCACTGAGGGCCCAACTAGCTTCAAAACCAGGTACTTTGAAACTTTGTTTTAGTAGCCTGGTCCTTTTGTCATGGGAGATCTTATGTGGAAGCCCAATATGCAAAACAGGAAAAAAGGAGAAACCCCTAGGATTGACGTAGAGGTCCTAGGGTCCCTTGTTCAGGCCCTGAAGCCGCTACAGCTCCCCCCCAGGCCCCAAAGCCTGAGGTCAGAGGTGTTTAATTTGAAAATTGGTGCTGCCCTGGCCGGTTTGGCTCAGTAGTTAGAACATGGGCCTGCGGACTGAAGGGTCCCAGGTTCGATTACTACCAAGGGCACGTACCTCGGTTGCAGGCTCTTTCCCTGGGCCCAGTCAGGGCGAGTGCCAGAGGCAGCCAATCGATGTGTCTCTCACATCGATATTTCCCTCTCTCCCTTCCATGCTCTGAAAAGCAATGGAAAAAATACACTCGGGTGAGGACTTAAAAAAAAAAAAAATCAATAAAAAAAATATAAAAAAGAAAATTGGGTTGCTAAGCTGTGCTTAAGGACGTGTCTTCTAGGACCACACAGTCTAAACAGATTTTAGACAAGGAACACCATAATCACAGTTGAAAAGAAACTTGATTTCCCCCCCATAGGTTAGATACTCCACTAGTCCCTTATATGCATATAGAACCCTCACAGCTACCTAGTGGGCATAAATAGTGTGACTTCCACTTTGAAAGGGATTCAGAGGCTAAGTTGCCTGCCTGAGGGACAGCTAGAATATGAGGGAGCCAAGGTTCCAATTTAGGCATGTCTGACTCCAAAGCCCACTGGCTTGGCCACTAGGTTGCAAGTAGAAAGGGATCCATGTCACATGAGACACAGTGCAGTGGAGATCCTTGAAGAATAGGGAAGGTAGCCTAAAGGATGTCAGTCTTGAAGGACACCTCAGTCATAGGGGGTTAGCGTGGGGTAAGACAGCATAGGAAATGGACCGGGGCCCAAGGTGGCAGGAGTGTAAATGTGGGGCAAATTACTGGAGATTGAAGAAGTAGTTCGGGTTTTTTTAATTCCATGTCTCTTCCTGCCTCTCCCCTCTTCACACACCTCTCTACTTGGTATTTACTGGACACCTCTGTGCCCTAGCCAGTGCCAAGCACAGGGGATACCACAGGTGAAAAGCACATAGATGGGCACATGAACATTATGTTCTGTGCCAACAGCCAGGGAGGGCTCTGAAGTGGACCCTGAACTGGGGCTGGCATTTAGATGGGCAGAAGGATAAGGTATCCTTAGCAGCAGGCCCATGAACTGTGGACTGAGGGCTGCTGTGGGGAGTTGGATTGGTGGTTTGGGGAAGCATGGCATAAGGGCCCTTGGGTGCCATCTAGAAGGATTTGGATTTGGATTTGACCCAGGTTTTGAGGCAGGGAAGCTCTCAGACACCTTCCCGAGTGTCAGGCAGTGAGGACAGGGTCATGAGCTGTGGTCTCAAAGCCACAGAACCTCAGAAGTCACTGCAACCAAAAAAGTTGCCAATTGGTCTGTGGACTGGATTTGATCCACCCAGTGTTTGAAGTAAGTTATTGAGCAAACAAGAGTGGGGAAGGCTCTGGCCCTGTCTTTCAGCCAAGGGACATAAAGTTGTGGGTGAGATTCCTTTGACGTATGTTTCCCAATGAAACAAAAATATGAGGACTACTGCTCTAATGGGACCTCCTTAAAGACCAGGAAAGGACTTGCCCTTGGTCCCAGCATAGGGCACAGAACTGACTTTGGGCTTTTTAAGCTGTGCATGCTGACCTCAGCCACCAGCTTCTGAGATGAGAGCGAGGAAGACAGCAAATTCCCAGTAAAAACACCTCTAAGGTTTGAGCTGGCCCTTGGGCGGTTTGCCCAATTACCAATAAAGAACGTGGAAGAAATTTTTCAGTCTTTTAAAACCTTTAATAATGTACATGTTCTCTAAGGCTGGCTCTCTTACCCCCTCAGCTCTTTCTGGATCAAGGTTCTCACCCCAGGTCTCCACATTATGTCAGAAGGGGCCATCAGGCGGGGCATACATCAGCTACAGCTGGGAGAAAATTCACCCCTGAAGGTCAGCCACCAGGTCCAAGGCAGAGCTGCCGATGGGTGTGTTGCAGTCAGGCTACCTGGAGATAGGATTTTCTCAGTCTCCCGAGTGGCCAGGTAGGACCTACAGGGAACACAGCTGCCCAGGCCAGAGTCCTCTGACCAGGAGCAGCCTAGGAGGAGTTCTAGATCCCACACAGGGATGAGATACCTTCCCGCCCTTGTGTGCTAGAAAAATATTTTCTGTGTGCCATGTCATGAAAAGGATGGGAAAGCACTGAACTGAGGAGATGAAAGGGCTTCAGCCACGGGCTTTTCTGCCACAGAACCACTTCTACAAGCTCAGAAGAAGTGCTGGGGGCGAGGGGCTGAAAGGCAGCACTTCTGCAGAAGCGCCTACCACATGCACCCATCCACCCACTCACGCTCCAGATACCTATTGCACACTCACCAGGCACCATGCGGGATGCCAGAGATTAAGTGGTGAACAAGACACCCTCAGAGGGTGAATTTGGGAGACTAAGGCTCAGGGAGTGGCAGTTCCCCACAGATACCCAGTATTTAACAGTTGCACCCAGGTCTGAAATGGATCCCTACCCCTCCAAAAGCTGCCCAGTGGGCATGGGCAACATTTGGGAAAAGGATTCTGGGTAGAAACGTGGCCTAAAAGGGTGATGGGAAGGCAGATCTGGCCTCCCCAGTGCCAAAGGTCAGTGGACAATGGAAATGGTCTGGTCAGCCACAGCAAAGACTGGGAAGAGGGGCCCAGGGAAGGATGCACGGTGGGTGTGGAGCACCGTGCCCGAGCCTGGGTCGTAGAATAGCAGCTCCTGGGCCTGCAAGTCCAGCAGCATGCCCAGCTGTGCGGGGCAGCGCAGCAGCCCCAGGGGCTCATGCTGCCCGTCGTGTGAGAAACAGAACTCTTGGTCGTAGCGGGAGAAGACCCAAGAGTAGGCGTTGTGGCCCAGGCGAGAGTCACTGCCAGAACCCTTGCGGGGCAGCTGGCCTAAGGCCACGCCCACCTTATAGGCACAACTGTTCTGCACATTCACCATCCAGGTGTGCAGCCCGGCCTGGAAGGAGGTGGTGGCCAGGGCATTGGGCCAGTGGTCGAAGCGCTCTGGGCCATCTGCACCGGCCTTGGACTTCTTGGCATTGAAGGTCAGAGTCCTTCGATCATCTGACAATTGCAGGAAGGGGCTGGTGGTCCTCTCGTCGATACGCACATCCTCTGTGCCTGCCAGGAAGAATTCTCAAAGTTGCCCAAGGTCCACCCTCAGCCCTACCCTGGTCCTGCCATGTAGCAAAGGGCTTCCTTATCCCTCACTGGCAGTGTGACCTCAGACAAGCCATTTACACTCTCTGAGCCTCACTCAGTTTCCTCATCTATAAAATGGGGATCAAAATAGGATTTAGCACAAAGTGGACGTGAAGATCAAATGAGATGATACGTGGAAAGTACCTAGCACTAATATGTGCTCAATAAATTGTGGCCATGATAACAGTAGTTATTCTTATCTGTAAACTCTGATAGAAATAAGGCCCAGAGAAGAGAAGCTAGTTGTCCAAGGTCACACATCAAGTTGGTGGCAGGGACAGAATTAAGACCCGGCATGTTGTTCCTACATCTAGCATCCAGCACTGATCATAGTGCATTCCAGTTGGGCAAATCCACACACAGCCTCCAGATCAGATTTGTCCTAGAGACATAGCCCCGGAAGCTAGGAAGCACCAGGTACCCATTTTCAACAACTAACCAAATGGGACTGCTGGCAAATCAGGTAATATCTGATACGAGGTTCTAGAGAACTCCAGCTTGTACCAACATTTTAAGGACAACAGGGAAGTGAGGAGGGTCAAAATGGAGAAAAAATTCAATGCACTAACCTAATTTTGTGAATTATGCAAATACCACAACTGGAAGTATGGAAACTAGCCAGCTTGGGGGAAGCCTGCTTTGAGAACCCCCACACTAAGTGGGAATTTGTGGAGGCAGGAGACCGTGTCATGTCCATCTCTGTGGCCCCAGCATGCAGCACAAGGTCAGGCCCACAGTCAGCCTGAGTCAATATTTGTTAAGTGGGGCGAATCCAGGCAGCTCAATTCTCGCTCCAGATGCTCCCCACTTGGCCATCAATTATATCTTCTTAAAGAGAAACCAGGTTTCCAAGAAATAATACTGAGCTGTCCCAGCAGGGCAGAGTATGCGGAGGACATGATTTACAGGAATAAGATCTATCCTAGACCCTACTGCAGAGCAGGTTGGTCTGGAAACGGGAAGGACCCGGCCCAGGTGCCCTAGCCTTTCCAGAACCTTGGCTCCACTGGCAAGCCTGCACCCAGCATCACTGGTTGTTTAAGCTACCATCCTGAATGCACTGGTCCCCAGTGTTGACCAGAACAAACCACAGACAGACAGACAGATGGCCAGAAGCCCAGTTGCTCCAAACTGGTGCTGGGCTTGAGCAGCTTCTAACCTGAGAGGGAGCCGAGAGCTGCTGTTGCCCAGAGTTGGGTCAGAAGTGGGCTCCAAGCACACTTCTCGTTAAAGTTTAACTTTTTCGACTCCTGGGGATCCAAAATGCCCTCTGCTTCCTCGGTCCTTGTACAGAAAGAAAACAAAACAAAACAAAACAGATTCAGAAAGGTTCTGGAAATGTATCTGGATCAATACAGGGTGATTAGGGTGGGGGCAGGGACAGAAGTAAAATCCTCTTCCACACAAGGGTGACACCAAGATTGGCAACCAGGTCCCAAATAGGAGCCACCTAAAGGGAGCTGGGCCAAAGAGAAGGTGGACATTGCCGCTATGCATCCCTGCCCCCCAAGAAGCCTTCATTCCGGCAAGGCAGATGATTGACAGGGCGGTAACTACTCGGAGCCAGTATCATAACTTGGAGTCGGTCTGCTCTGTGGAGGAAGCTACTCACCCGTGGATCTGGTACCTTAGCAGCAGAGCTAGGATTAGGACTTGGGCCTCTTGGACCTCTGTGTGGGAGTCTTTCCACCACCATCCTGCTCAGAGAAAATTTCACCTCCCTCCAAAAGCGATTGCAGCAGCAACGCTGCCCTTGGTTTGATCAGCGGGTACAGCCAATTCCTCTGCTCCTAAAATGCCAAGACCCCTGTGGGATCTCACAGCAAGGGACTGTCAGTTATCTCCTCAACCATAAATTATTCACAGCACTTTGCTCCCAATAACTACCTCTCAGCTCACTTCAGGGACTGGGTTTGGTTGGAGAGGAAATTTGGGAACAAGGAGAGTTGCCATTTATTAAGCAGCCAAGCCCTGTGACTGCTGCTTTCCATATAGAATCTCATGTTGTCTTTGGTATAACCTGGGAGGTAACCCATTTAACAGGAGACAACAGAATCAGAGAAGGCTCTTAGCTAAAAAGGAGAGCTGATTCAAGTCTTACCTCCAGGCAAAAAAAAAGAACAAACCCAGGCTGGAGTCCAGGCACCGTTCAACATAATTCTTCCCTTGACCTGAAGTGAAATCTCAAGCAGGTATAGAGCAAAGTGGGGATTCGCCACAGAGCTTTGCAGCCTTTTGAACTGGGTTTGGAGAAAGAACTTCCCACTGCCTCTAATCCTGAAGGTGGCTTTGAGATCATGCAGCATTTCCGAGAGCACACACTCTCTTCCCCAAATCTCATAGCCCCACCCATTAATGAAGGAGGGGAGACAGGGGGTGGGCATGTCTCACGGATGCCAGCTCTTTGCAAGACTGTCACTGACTGTCCTGGCTTGAGACGAACGAGGTGAGCAGAGCCCTAGAAAAGCCGAGAGCAGGCTCTAGAAACAAAGGCTCTTTGTGGTCAGGACAACAGAGGGTCTGTTGCCATCTTCTCAAAGCAGTGAGGCTGGGTCTTGAGGGGCCCCAGCCATCAGGTGGGGAGGAAAGAGGAACCAGTGTCAGCATGGCTAAGCCATCATCCCAGGGCAGATCTGAGGCTAATTGTAGACACCAGGATCTAGAAAACCAGCTGGTCCAGGTACCTCATGGTACAGAAGAGAAAATTCGTGACTCCGAAGAAGTAGAAGTGAATTTGGGTTTGAACACAGCAGGGCCCTGGCTGGGACCAGAAAGCCTGGTCTGTGCAGCAGGACCTGTTGCTGTGACAGGCCAGAGCTGAACCCAGCCAGGGGTGTGGAAACAAAATTGGGGCCAATAAAAGCATTTCTCAGACAAGTGAGTCCCCAGCTAGAAGGAGCTTGACAACTTTCGAACACAGTACTTTGAGAGCGTACACCCTCAGTCTACGGGCACAGGGAACTACAAACAAACCCTGACCGCTATGAATAGATTTGTCAGTAGTCGTACAGATTTAGCAATTCTCGAACCACTCTGTGTGTATTGTAGGACTAAACTAAAGAATGACTACATTGCTGCTGTTGGGTGCCAAGGTTCTCACCCAACAGATATAAGCATAGAATGGGAGAAGGCCAAGGGAAAGCGCTGTGGAGTTCCCTTGGAATTGGAAGCTCTGATAGAAACTCATGGATAAAAAGCCACAATCACACTTCCCAGCTCTGCCTGCTGTCCACTGAGGAGGCCTGGAAGCAATGACACATAGGCAGCAACCAGTGTGCATCTACTGCCCGGATCTGGGCCTTTAAATACTCCTCCCCACTAAAAGGAACCAAGACGCCCTGGAGAAATAGCTGGTTCCAGGGCTGAGGCAGGGAAAGGACAAATGGAGCCTGGGGCATCTTGTGCCAGAACACAAATAGCTGGTTCCAGGGCTGAGGCGGGGAAAGGACAAGTGGAGCCCGGGGCATCTTGTGCCAGAACACACGAGAGCGCTCAAAGAATGGATGGGGTCTTGTCAAAAGGATCCAGGATCCAGCCTGAAGGGACTGGAACTGGCCAAATCTAGGACAGTTTGAGGATCAAAATTAATAATAGTGGTAGTAGTAAGAGACTGCAATGCAGCACCGAATAAATGAGTTTATATTGATCCTAAATAAGTGAATGAAGAAATAAGCAAATAAGTGAATAATTCAGGAAGGAGTTTAGCATCAATGGAGGCTAAAACTATCTGATGAAGTCCGAAGGCAAACAGGCTATTTATACAAAAAGTACCTCCTCATGTTGCTTATTAATTACGAAAGGGAAGATATCTTTATAATGAAGGCACCGCTTTTATCCACGTGATCAAAATCAACATTCCCCGCTAATGGGACAAAGTGACATCACGTGCCCGCAGCTCTGACAGACTGAGACCACATCACTAATGAGCTATTCCTGCCAAAAGTGCGCAACCTGAACCTGATCATGGGTAACATCAGGTGAACTCAGGCTGAGGGATATTCTATAAAACAACTGTCCTAGACTCATTCAAAATGCTTTTTTAAAAAGGCTAAGGAACAATTCCAGATTAAAAGAGACCAGGTGGATCAGGAAAACAAACAACAACCGAAAAAACACCAAATGGCCCTGGCTGGTGCGGCTCAGTTAGCTGGGTGTCATCCCGGGCACTGCAAGGTCCCGGCTCAATTCCCAGTCCAGGCGCGTGACCAGGCTGCAGGCGCGGCCCCCAGTAGGGGGCAGGAGGCAGCTGAGAGATGTTCTGCTCTCACATGGATGTTTCTCTCCCCCTCTCCCTCTCTCTCTCTCTCTCTCTAAAAAAAAAAAAAAAACAAAAAAAAAAAT